TTTTTCTTCAGACGTGTGAAGTTGGTCTTATATATATTTAGTTACTGTTTTCTATGTAAGGAATCCCATTAAAATTGTGATCTTGCTTTCTTATTTAAAGAAGGATTCTACTTTATTTGCTGGTCGGAATTATTAATTCGAGTCATAAGTCAACTTCCGTACCTACTGTTTTAGATGTTTGCTTTAATTTTGAAAAATATGGTCTAGGGGAACTGCCAAAGTAGAGCGATAAAACGATATTTATATTACATGAACGACTTTACGGTGGGAAGAATATAAGGAGATTCGGAACTACAATAAAAACATTAACCCAGCAGAATAAAAATTTCGCTGAAGGAATTACATATTCAAGCAGTTCTTCAACAAGCACGAAGCACATTTGTCTTGGCGAGTTTCATGCTTCACGGAAATGACGGGAGATGGCAGCGTGTCGCAGTTAAAGTGGAACATGTCTCATCATCAAAGGGGAATCTTAACAAGGATGGAAATTCGTACTCTACAAGAGTACACAAATGATTCAAAGGCGTTCTTTTACCCAGAGATGATACTATTTTGAGAAAATTAATCGTCTTTGGTAATACGTGTTAATGAAAATTAGAATGCATAACACATAAGTCAAGAAACCGTACAGCAGAATAGAGAATAATAGGGGAGGACGGGGTAATGGTGGTCAGGTACTTTTTTTGATAAATGATAGCAGATGATTCAGCAGGTGCTGCCACCTAGCCCTCGATTTAGTGAAGTTCGAAAATGAATTCTGTCATCTGCTTCTGGGTCAGTTTTATGCTCCCGTGAAATAATATTTTGATTCATGCATCTGACTTGAATGAACTCGAACTCTGTGCTTATACGTAAAAATATTATTTAGATGTATAAATATTTCGTAAGTTTTATAATTATCAGTCTTTTTTACAACTTCAGTTCACTTTATAACCGTGCTTTAATATATCTTCCGCCTATCACATCAAATATATAGTGGTTGAGTACTTGAAAGCTGCTTAAAGCGCCCAACCATTTACCCTGAAAATGACAACTACGATGTTTGCTGAAACTTTGGTTAATTTTAAAATTTTTACTCTGCTCAACCCCACAAAACCGAAGTTACGCATTGAATTTCAGCCGCGAAGATCCAAGGACGAGAATGGCTTGGACTTTACCACGACTTTGGATAGCCCTGTCCTGGTAAGCTTCACTCGTGCGTCCATAGACCAGTCATCCATAAAAGATGTGAAATATTTCCAGTTTTTAGACTTGCAAATTCGACATAATCAAGACGTGAGACGAATAGGAATATAAATTGCACTCACTCTGGACTTAAGTCGGCATTTTTTCTTTATCTCTTTCATTCCTTGCCTTATCATTATTAAAACTCTGCGCTCCCGAAGGAAATCGTCATTATTCTGCATCTTTTCCGCCCGACATCAAATTAGGAACCTACTCACCCGAGAATGTCTTTGTTGATGTTGGTCCAAGTACTAGGGACCTCAGTATTCATTACGGTAGACTTCGGACTGTTCTGTTCAGCTAGAGACGTCGGTTGAAATCCGTAATTACGTTAGAACTACGCGCAACAGAAATCAAGAACAAACGAAAAAACAAATAACAAGAAAAATTATTAAATTCTCTGTTATTATTGGAAAAAACTAAATTCTTAGAAGTTTAAGTAACAAGCCACTCGCTTTCTTCTCTCTGTTCTGATAAGTTATTACGTCTTCCTTGCACACTGTATGGAATGAACTCATATAAGACTGATCATGTATGTCTGTCAGAATGATATAACGCAGGAACCCCTGAAAGAATTTGGATAAACTGTTACATGGATGTCGTGTCGTTGAAAACTGCCCTAAAAACACAATTCTCATTTTTTTACAGTCGGAAATACCAATATGAGGGACGAACAAACTTCGATTTTGGTTTTCCGAAACTACAAAACATTTGTAGGATTCCAGGTTGTGACGGCGGCGAGTCTGAAGATGGCTACCTTCTGGATTGTTGCGCCTTGTAGTCTGGTAGAAGTTAATCGGCGTTTCAGATGCACGCATTCCTCTAGCACCTTTTCTAAGTCGGTAAACGTCTACCAGAATATACAGAGCAAGAACCCGGAGGACAGTTGTCTTCGTCTGCAAGTCCTCACGGCGTCACAACCGAGAAGACTATCATCTAAAGCAGTGAGAAGATTTTGTTATTTTTCTTGCGATTATAATGAATAATGAAGAGTAATTCTTTACTAGATAAGAGTACTTTGCCCTGTGCCTCATGACTAGTA